GCAAATCAGCGTACATGTTGCACCCGCATAATCCTGAATCCTTCCAAAACGCAGTTTCTGGTTTGATGATCGTGGGAATCCGTGAATCTGTAGCAAAACTTTAAAACAAACGTGCGCGGCGCAAAAGCAATCCGTGACACGCTTGCACAGTTTGAAAACGAATGTGCGCGGCGCTACGGCGAGAACCACATTTGGAAAAAGAACCGCCCACAATCCGTGAAACCCTAGCAAATGTTTACAGCGCGTGTGCGCGGCGCTAAGGCGAGAACCCCATTTTGAAAACCACCGGCCCTCAATCCGTGACACCCTTTCAAATGTGTAAGACACATGTGCGCGGCGCTAAGGCGAGAGCCACATTTTGAAAACCAGCCGCCCAACATCTGCGAAGCTGTTGCCAATTTGTAAGATTCAGGGTCATAAGCGGTGAGAAAGTCCCAGGCGAAACGCCCTGGCCCGCCCTAAAAAGTGGCCTCGGGATGCGAAAGGGAGAAGATATGCATAAGGAATCGGAATGGAGGAGGAGGAGGAGGAGGAGGAGGAGGAGGAGGAGGACGACGAGGGTGTCCCCAGCGTTTCGCTCCATTCGGGAGCCCCTTGGGCCTTCTGGGCCTCGCGAGGGGTGCTCGAAAGGCCATGGGGGCCTGCTTGGAGATCCTGGGGACACCTTGGGCCAGTGACACTTCCGTCAACACGCGACGGGGGGAGGCACTACGGCAGGCTCGTGACTTGACGACTTCGGCGTTGGGTCCCGACGCCGCGCGGAGCGCTCAACCTTGAACGATCGGCGTCCTCCCGCTCGCCAGCTCGCTCGATCTTGGCCGATTCTGGGCGGCGATCGACCCTGAAACGCACGCCCTGGAGTCGCAGCTGTGTCGACACGACACCAACCTCGTGTACTCCAGATTTCGTAATAAAAGGGAGGGGGTCTGGACCCTCCAAGACAAGCCATTTCAGACCTCCCCCGTGGGAGAACCCTCCAAAACATCGTCCCCAGACCCCCCAGGCCCTCCAAGATAGCCTGGAAGAGACCCCCCCCCGAAATGAGACCCCCCTCCCTTCCTTACGAAATCTGGAGTACACGTATCACTGCACCCAGGGGCTCCGACGAAGGGGAACGATGGGACACCGCCGATGGATCGGCGAGGCAGCGCCGATAGATCGAGGCAGCGAGGCGTCGCCGATAGATTGGCGACAGGCCCCCCCATCGCGAACCCGCACGTTCCCGCGCGGGGCGGGCGCACGCGGGCCCCCCAGCGGCGACGAGCGGGCGATTTGGGGGCTGGCGCGTCCCCCCCCCTGAGGTTGCCGCCCGGCTCTCGGGTCACAGCCGGGCCCTCCGCCGGCCGCTCGGGACCGACGCACTGGCCATCGCTCGGACGCCCATTCCCTGTGCTTTTTGTCGGTTTCGCGCGTGTTTTTTTCGCCATCTGATCAAGGACGCTCCTCGATGGTCCCCGCCGAGGAAAAAACGCACACGTCCGAGCGATGCCAGGCGCATGCGGGCACCCCCCCCGGGGACGCGGCCGGCGAGGCGGCGCAGCCGATGGAAGGCATCCCGAGGCTGGGAAAGCGCTGAGGGCCGACCGGCGGAGACGTCCGAACGCCTCGACCTCGAGCCCTCGAGACTTCGGTGCCCCTGCACCGATCGCCCACGTCCTCGCCGAGGAACCCCCAGCGAGGGTGCGCAATTGCCGCGGGTCCGCGTCGTGCCGACCCCCGCGTGGGGTCCTGACGTCCTCTGGGATCGCTCGGCCTGGAACGCGGCGCCGTTCCCGAAGCGCTGGATCGTCCAGCGAGGGGCCGACTCTGGCCCGCCGCCAGCGCTCAGCGTGGAACGCCGGCGGCGGTCGACGCGGTGCGAGCCTGCCGTAGACGGTGCCCGCCCCCCTGGGCTGCAGCCCGCCCCTGCCGCCTCCGCCGAGCTCCGCGCGGCTGCAGGAGGCCCAGCGCGCCTCGAGGTCCGCGCGCCACGTCAGCGCGCTCGCTGGAAGAAGAAACCGCTGCACAGACATACTCGGTGTGTGTGGTTGTTGACGCTTCGCGCATCCCCACCAGCTATGGGCACCCATGGCAGTCGCCGCAGTGTACTTTCCAGTGGCCTCCCTGGTCACATCCTGGTATGATCCCGCGCCATTTCGGCTGCGCCCCAACCCTGGTTGGCTAATCTTGCATGTGCGCGCTCCTGGACCTGGTCCCTGGCAGCTGCAGCTTGCACCCCCCTCTCGCGGGCCCGCCCGCCAAGGCGCTGCTGAGGTCGCCGGCCCGTCGGCGTTAGGCAATTCGGCTCTTGCGCGGCCCGCCCGGACCTAACTCGCCGCTGGCGCCCTCGCCTGCGGCTGCGACAAAAAAGTATCCCGACGCTCCAATCGGTCGCGGGGCGCCCCGTCCAGGTCCAGTGGGAGAGGTTAGGAGGGAGGAGTCAAGCTACCCACCCGCACGCAAGCCGTCTAGCTCACTCCCACCCGCCGTCTCAACACATCAGTAACACCCGAGCGGCCCGAGCCTGGGCATTTTCAGCGGTCGGCTTTCGATGGAAAGCTACTGGGAACCAAAGCCGACCCCAGGTGCGCGACGCTTGAGCGAGGTGCGCCACGCGTGCCAGAGGCGCCACGCGCGCTATGCACCTCTGGGGCCCGAGCGTGCCAGGCACGCATGGTGCGCAAGATGCGCCACGTGCTCCGAGTGCGCCAGGTGTGCCGCACACTCCAACCGCGCCAAGTGCGCCACGATCGGGGCACGTGCAGAGTGCGTCAGGTGCGCCTGCGCGAGTGACAGCACACACTGGGAAACATGTCGGCCCCCACCATCCTTGGCGAAAACCAATGCCCATCATCGTGTCTGGTGGGCCTGCGCACAGCAGGCCACGCGCCACCACCCCCGCCGTCCCTGTCAAAAACAACTTGACAGTGATCGCGGGGTGGCAGCGCATGATCCAGATTTAGACGCGAGGTGCATGTTGTATTGTTTTTTTTTTGGTCAGGGGTAGCCCTGCGCGCAGCAGGGAATATGCTAACACCCCCGCCGTCCCTGTCAAAAACAATACAACATGCTCGCGGGCATCACGAACATGACTCAAGATTTTGCCCCAAAGTGTACTTTGCATCTATCGTTTTTGACAGGGATGGTGTGTGGGGGGGGCCGCATCGGGTTTGCCGCGCATGCTCCAATCAGAATGCGTTGTGCATTGTTTTTGTGACAGGGATGGTGGGGGGGGGCCCTCATGGGGTTGGCACGGTTCCGGGTTGGCCGCCGGTCGGGTGGGGGAGAGGGTGTATATCAATAAGGAACAGTGAGTATTCTCTTGCACAGTTGTGTTCTAGAGCTCGGACCTCCATATTTTCGTGGTTCGTCGTCGTCCCCCTGGCTCTGGCTTCCCATCCTCGTCGTCGTCTCCCTGCCCCCCATCCCCTGGCCTCCGCGCCCCAACCCGGACCTCTGGCTCCTGGTCCGAGCCCCAGTCCTCCTGCCCTGGCCCTGATCCCAGCCTCCCTCCTTGGCTCTGGCGTCCCCTGGCCTTCGCCCCAGCCCTCCTCGCCCCGGACAGTGTATTTTCGTGGTTCGTCGTCGTACCCCTGGCTCTGGCCTGCTTCCTCTGGCCCCCTCATCCTCCTTCCCTGGCCCTGAACCCAGTCTCCCTCCTTGGCTCTGGCGCCCCCCCTCGCCCCAGACCTTTTATTTTCGTGGTTCGTCGTCGTCCCCCTGGCTCTAGCCTGCTTCCCCTGGCCCCCTCGCCCCCGTCCTCCTGCCCTGGCCCTGGACGCAGCCTCCCTCCTGGCTCTGGAGACCCCGGGCCCTGGCCCCAGCCCCCCTCGCCACGGACCCTTTATTTTCATGGTTCGTCGTCGTCCCCCTTGCTCTGGCCTGCTTTCCCTGGCCCCCTCGCCCCCGTTCTCCTGCCCTGGCCCTGAACCCAGCCTCCCTCCTTGGCTCTGGCGTCCCCCCCTCGCCCCAGACCTTTTATTTTCGTGATTCGTCGTCGTCCCCCTGGCTCTGGCCTGCTTTCCCTGGCCCCCTCGCCCCCGTCCTCCTGCCCTGGCCCTGAACCCAGCCTCCCACCTTGGCTCTGGCGCCCCCTGGCCCTGGCCCCAGCCCCCCTCGCCCCGGCCCTTTTATTTTCGTGGTTCGCGGTTTGTCGTCGTCCCCCTGGCTGTGGCCCGCTTCCCCTCGCCCCCGTCCCCCTGGCTGTGGCCCGCCCCCCCTCGCCCCCTCGCCCAAACCCGGTCCTCTGGCCTCTGGTCCGAGCTCCAGCCCTCTGGCCCTGGCTGAACTCAGCTTGTTTCCTGGCCTTGGCCCCACTCGCCCCGACCCTGGCCTTCGCCCCAACCCTCCTCCCCCCGGACCGTGTATCTTCGTGGTTCGAACCCGGACCTCTGGCCCCTGGTCCGAGCTTCAGTCCCCCTGCCCTGGCCCTGGACCCCCACTCGCCCCGACCCTGGCCTTGGCCCCAGGCCCCCCATCCCCTGGCCCTCTCGCCCCCCACATGCCCCTCCTCCTCTTTCTCTCCTCAAATGTGCAAGAGCCAGGGCACGCGTGCCAATTACATTAATAGGGAACAGTGATCAACCCCTCCCCAAAGGGGAAGAGGAACAGATGGAAGAGAAAACACGCAAAAACACCTACGCCCAGAGGGCTGGCGGGATTATGCAGTTTTTCATGTATGCACATCTATATGTGTGGATGTAAGTGATGTAAGTGTGGTAAGAGTGTGTGTGGTCCTTCTGCTGTCACTCTCTCTCTCTCTCTATCTCTTCAAGCTTTTTCTTGTTTGTGCCTCCCTCCCTTTATATATCTATATATATAGACTATATACACTAGAACCATCGCGCGCGCTTCGCGCGCGCTCAAGTTCTAGCTAGGATAATCGTCATCGTCATCATCGTCATCCTCATCACCATCATATCCAGCGTCATCGTTAGCGGCATCGTCATCATCACCATGACCATCACCATCATCACAGTCGTCACCATCACCACCATCAGCAGCAACATCGTCATCACCAT